TATGCTCTTGCCTCCATTGTCAAATATTAATTGAGCATAATGGCTTGGGTCGATTTCTGGGTTCTCTGTTCTGTTCCATTGATCTATATGCCTATTCTTGTGCCAGTACCAGGCTGTTTTGATTACAGTGGCTTTCTAGTATAACTTGATATCTGGTATTGTAATCCCTCCAATTTGTTATTCTTTCTCAAGATTGCTGTGGCTATTCAAGGTCTTTTTTGGTTCTATATAAATTTGGGGGGTATTTGTTCTAGATCTGTGAAATATGCCCTTGGTGTTTTTATAGGGATTGCATTGAATCTATAGATTGTTTTGGGTAGTATAGACATTTTAATGATGTTGATTCTACCAATCCATGAACACAGTGTATTCTTCCATTTGTTTATATCTTCCTCTATCTCTTTTTTTTGGTCGTCCTGTAGTTTTCTGAGTATAGGTCTTTTACCTTCTTGGTTAAGTTTATTCCTAAGTATCTTAATTTTTTGTTGTTGTTGCAATGGTAAATGAGATTGGTTTTTTAGTTTCTCTTTCTGAAAGTTCACTATTGGTGTATAAAAATACCATCGATTTCTGCGTGTTAATTTTGTATCCTGCTACTTTGCTGACTTCATTCATTGAACCTGGTCATTTTTGGATGGAGTCTTTAGGGTTTTCTATGCACAATATCGTGTCATCTGCGAATAATAACAGTTTTACTTCCTCCTTTCCAATTTGGATGCCTTTCATTTTTTTCTTCTTGTCTGATCGTTATGGCTAGGATCTAATGCAATATTTAAAAATTACTCTCTGCAAACAAAAAACCCATGTAACAAAATAGAATTTTCAACAAATAGCAGTCAGTTTTGACTGGATTTTCCATTTGTCTCCGGCGCCTAATGGTTCATCAAACCACAGCGATGGCCACAACTTTATCTAAAATTAAAATACCCGGTTTGTCATGGATTTTTTTTCCAAGTAAATTTGATTTCTAAGGTATTGCATTAAAATATTTGTTGCAATCACTGAGATGTTGTGCCCGGAGCTAGTGTCTGGCTTGCTTATATGTCTTTGTACCTGGTCCTGGCTCTGGGGAAAGAAGGATCCTCCTCCTCTTCCCCTTTGTCCCCCCTTCCTCATCTCTGTAACCCCCTCTTGTCCCTGAGAATTATCTCCCCTTATCTCTCTTTACACCTCACTTTATTTTGTTTCTCTCTCTCTCTCTCTCTCTCTCTCTCTCTCTCTCTCTCTCATTCTGCCTCTGTTACTCTTTCTATTTTCTCCATCTCTTCCTCTTTCCTTACCCCCAATATTTCTGCTTCTCTGTCCCCTTCTTACCTTCCCTTTCTTCTCTCCATCCTTCTCTCTCGTTCTCTCTGACTGTTGGCCTCTTTGTATTCCCACTCTCCTCCTTCACATGTTCATGCTCAGCTTTCCAGGGTCAACAAGATGGTGCATCTTGGGAATCGGAGTGTTTTTGAAGAATGGGG